AGCAAGGTGCTGTATGGTATGTAGGTTAGGCCAGGATCCTCCACCTCCCTAGTCTGGTTGACAATATCGTTCCAACAATAACAGAATGACTACTTGAGTGGGCTTCTCTGTGATACCGTATTGAATTAACTTTTGACTTCTCTATTTACTAACTTCGTGGTATGTTGACAAAACGAAAAAGACAGTCAGAGGATCCTCGTCTCCAAAGGTACAGGTCCAAATCCCACAAACGGGATTTGCGGCGGGAAGGGGTTAACCCCGTGCGTATTTTACTTGCCCTGCGGCTAGTCTAGGGGCAGTTCGAGACCGACATCCCCCGCCACGCAAGCTTAAAATCTCCACTATAGTGGTATCTCTCGGTAATAATCTGTGATATTACCACGAAGATCGCCCAAACTATTGTAATATTGCCTCCCTCTGCGTATTTTTCACGACCTAGAAGCGAGGTAAGATGTCAAATAAACCAGGGGTATAATACAGCCTTAGTTGATATTTTAATAGGTTTCTAATTTATGGGCCCTGCCAATCCTGACGTCGAGCTGAAGACTCTAGTCTCTTTGTGAAGCGTAATTACCTTGATAGCCCCATTCTGACTGCTAGCGCAAGGTGCCTGGTAAGTCTGTATCTTTTGGCCATTAATTTAATATGACCCACTTAGCAATCGCGGAACCCGTATCTTTTTGACCGAAGATAAACGAGTACGAATATCTTTCATCGGCTCCTGTAGACTAGGTACTCAAAATCAATGCATGCATCCTATTGTATTTTTTACATGATTCTCAGTTTGTCACAAATTGGATTTCCTCGTTTTGTATTCGCAAATATCGTATCTTCTACGTCCGGCATCTGCGACACGGACTATCGATCCTGACACGTCTTTATCTTTTTCAGCAGAAACCACCTTTTGCTGTCAGGTAAACCGTTGACCTCCGAGTATAAAATGTGGAAAGAGCGCTTTGTGGGCACGCCCCGCTTGTAGAATACGATATTGGATGTCTCTTACTAAGACTTAACAGAGCTATTCTACAGTTTGCTAAGTGAAAGTGCTATAAAGATAATTAAGATTAAACACCTTAGATAGATGAAACGTACAATGCTCTTAATTGGTCTCGGCATCATCTTGAATGAACGATGGCGGTGTTAATAACTGCAGACGAAGGTTCGTAGATCGCAGTAGATATATATATCGGTAACAGTGGCAGAAACTATACCATAACTTGGTCCTGGGCATTGAACCCAATGGTTCCAAGACATCCGGAGAGTGCGGCTGCGCTTCAAACCCATAATAAAGATCGCTTGAACCTGGCCAAAACAATGAGCATCGAGACAATCATGTGCAGGGAATCCACAACCAAATCGGCCTGTCGTGACGACCACGTGAAAGAAAGGCGTGGTAGCCATGGGATTGACCAAAAAGAGATCAATATAAGTTTCCGGCTCCCTGGTGTCCACGCTTTGATAAGTGATCACCCATGTTCCAGCGCTAGTAGGGCTTTACCTGCTTGCTCAGATGGACAGTTGAGTGATCCCAGAGTGTCCCGGTGCCTACATCACGGGAGCGATTTTGAACGGATACAGTTAACCCACCGGAAAGGGTTCCTTTTGCTGTCGTGCGATGAGAGAGAGCAAGACCGACTTGATTTTCTCCATAAGCTGTTCTCCATCGCCAGACGGTCCGATGACCTCATTCATGTTCCTCACCCGGAGAAGGGCAGGGTCTTGGACCTAGGTTGTAGGACGGGAATATGGGCTATAGACGTGGCTGAAAGATATCCAGAAATGTTTATCGTGGGAGTCGACCTTTCTCCGATCCAGCCTGATCGACATCCTCCCAACTGCGAATTCTACGCCCCATTTGATTTTGAACGCCAGTGGCAGATGGGAGAGGATTCGTGGGATGTAGTCCACCTCAGGATGGGATGGGACAGTGTGTTTAATTGGCTCAATCTCTACCGCAGGGTCTTTGCACACCTCCACCCAGGTGGCTGGTTTGAACAGGTAGAGATAGATGTTGAGCCACGTTTTCTCAACAGTCCCTCTGGACACTCCCCTCTGAGACAGTGGTACCAGGCCTTTGGGCGTGCCACAGGGCAGTCTGTGCGGTCACTGACTCACCATTCTAAAGACACAATGAGCTTTTTACGGACCGCTGGTTTTACAGAAATTAGCCACCAAACAATACAGTTGCCATTAAACCAATGGTCTTCCGATCCCCATCAACAAGAGATTGGTCGCTGGTACGGTCTGGCGTTCTTGCAGTTAATTGAATCATTAGATCTCGGTTCTTCTAATCACATGTTTGGTTGGGCCCCTGATGAGACACGTAAACTCATTGCCCAGGCGAAAGCAGAAGCATCTGATCACAGTGTTCACAGTTTTCATGTGTTACATGTATACAGAGCCCAAAAACCCCGCTGAGCTAGGACCTGATCTTCACTCGAATGTGTCGGTCACGCCCTTTAAGCCTAATTACCCAATTCCGTCGATTATAGGGCCTCTGAAAACCGGTCACCACTTATCTTTGATTGTTCCCAAGATAAATTTTAGAATAGTAAGATGTCACATACTGTAAAATTGCTCCAAATGGTGTGATAATTCACATTCTGAGGTAAAGGTAACAGAAACATCAGATTAATTCCCGCTCTCGGTATATATATAACAGCGCTGAACATCCCTTGCAAGCCTAATATGAAAATCAACGCACTGGGCGACTGCGCTCAGTGTACGTTATCTTTGCTCATTGCTTGCCTTCCGTATGCCTTGGAAGAATGACATAAATTTCCTTTATATCCCGGTTCAAAAGTGTAACCCTGCAACCTTTTTGTATGTCTCTACCCTTGATGGCAGGGCCTTTCCACCAACCAAGAGGCGCACGCAGATGTGTTCTGTAGTCAGGATCCCATTTTGCGATATCGGATGACCGTATTTCCCTTATCGCCGGATATCTGTAATAACAGTATTCTGAGTAGATTCCCTTCTTCGTGTTGGTAAAAACCTTCTTCAAAGGTAGCTTTACCGTCTCATGGCCATTTATAATATCGTAGATATTCAGGGTAATGCCAGACGGGAAGTAGACCTCATATCTATCCTTGTCATATTTCCAACCATCTTGAAGAGCGGCAAAGCACCTTTCGCTTTCGTATTTAAGATCGCCTGAATGGTCACCTGCGATAAGAGCAAGGTAGAGACGGCTTGCCGATTTTCGGGGGCGATAGGTGCTCAAGCTATGGCCAATAAGAACTGGAGAGCATCGATCAAATGTCAAGGCAAACTCCAGCCAACTAGTATCTTTGAAGATCTGTTTCCAGAGGATAGAGCTGGTGTTTATGATGTTTTCGACATCTGCTGGCGTCATAAAGTCCTTGATGCTTAACCAAATATCAAGTGGGGTTTCAAGAAGCTTCATTATGAATGACTGGCACCGGTGCTGGTGTTGATCCGGATCTTACCAGGGAGAGGTGTTTATCGATCGCAGGGCTCATCCGGAAAAGCCTTAATCTTAAGCATGCGCTTTCATTCAATGCAGGTGCTCAATTTACGCTAAATCCTTGGCATAGGGCCAGAAAACAATCAATTTGTGGGATTTTTATATATATTATTATCTGTATTTTTTGCCAAATATTGTGATATCTTACATTTTTGCTTACAGGATATCTTACCTTAAGACCAGTCCTAAGCAGGATCGGCAGACCTTATCTGACAAATCTAGCGGAAAAGTTGGCAATCATCCTAGAAGAGAAATACATATTTCTATTTTTTACCTTGGGAATACAAGCTGTCCTACTGTTTAACCAATCAACTCTTATAAATTTTTATTTTCGATCTGTCAATCATTCATCATGTATGGAATATCCCAAGACCAGCTTAAGAAGCTTCTTGAGAACGACTAGCCGGACATCTCTGACATACCTAAGTAGTTTAACATATTACTTATGGTATTAGTTCATTATTTAATAGCCCTTTGAAAACTGGACATCGATATTAATTACAGGGTCGTATATTGGGAATAGGCTTACTGTTAAAAAAACCGTGGTGTAAATATAGAGAGAAGTATCAACGGTTTGGCACTATACGAAGCATAGCATAGATTCAATCCTTGACGCTTTCTTTTCGGTTATATATTTTAAGTTAAATTTAGATTTGAAACCAGTGGTAAATACTCTTGAAAAACCAAATCTAAACAGGATAGCTGGATCAATTGCTACTTGAAAGCTCACTAAAACTGGCACTTTAACTCGCCATCAAGGTTGGACAGGTTGAGATCTGAGAGGTTAGGTTAGCCAAAACAAGGCAAAGGAATGTATTTGCGTACCCAGATTGATATTTGGATAGTTGAAGTGCATATCATGGGTCCCACAGCCACATGATAGCCAAGTTCCATCAATGCTGCAAGACGAACAGAATCTTGACATCTCGCCTCTAACGTATGTTAGTACTGCGGCTGCCATAAAACAGCTGAACCTACCCTTCTTTGGCCCTAAGGACCCCATTCTCATTGCTATAGCAAGAATTCAGATCTAGGCTACTTCTCATTCTGATGCCATCCATTTTCGTGCAGGTTGCAGTCACAAAATGCTGATTCTCTAGCGCTATCTTATCGCAGGTAGCAGAGAACCCGCGGGCTGCTGACATGGGTGCAAGGTAAAAGCTGCCCAGAAGCCAAATGCACTCGGATCTCATACTGGAGAAGGATCGAAGATTGGGAGGAAAAAATATGATCAACTTGAAAAAATATACTTGGAACAGATAATGTGATTGATATAAGCTGAAGTGTCCCTGAAAACCTCAACTCGTATACAGCCGACTTAGTCTAAAAGACATAACATGTAGTATTATCAAAAGTTCTAATTTAATCATCTGGTATTATCCTTCATTTTGGCTTTCTCAATATATTTCGGTAAGTCAGTATTTTGCCTGTATAAAACTAGCCTTGTCCTACAGTCCGCCAAAAATATGACAAATTTCATGAGATAAGGTGGGGTGTAATAAATCATAGCCCGTGTATTCTATAGGAGTTGTATTGAATACTGCAATAAGCGGATATAATACCCGCCCGATTAAGGGCGAAAATACCTACCGTAGATGAACGTAACTAACCACTAGAGCCAGGTAGCATTGTTACAATAACTCATGTATATTACATATTATTTAGCCCCCAAATTGATTCATGTATCCACTCATACCGCCAAATTTTCATGATGTCATTGGGGAAAGGACGTTTTCATAGTAATAATTTACTATGTTGAATCAAGAATATCTGTATATTCACGGCAAAGAGTGTTCGACGGTATTTTCGACCACGCTC